GTCGGCTACATGGGAGTCCAACAACATAGCCATTACATCAACTGCTGGTCCCTCCAGCTCTTTCTTAAAAGTAGGACTGCAGGGGCAGCAGGTGGCAAGGTGCTTGACTCCCACATGGCCAACTGCAGTTCAAGTCCCAGACCTGGCAACTTGAAAATCTCAACCATAAGCAGGTGCATGCATGCCCCAGATCCTAGGGGGAGGTTGGAGGAGAAGGGATTGCAGCTTGGGCATCTCCCAGGGTGTTTCTCACTTCCCCTCTCTCTTTGGTAAGCACACACACCCTATGGCAAAACCTTTAAAACATCATAAATGAAGTAGGGCTGACATGGCAGAAGAGTGTGAGCTAGACGCTTGCCAGCCGTCGAAGTGAGGATCACTCCTTCCAGACCCTCTTCCCTTGACCGGGGCAGGCTGAAGGCTGAGTGAGCTTCGGAGGCCTTAGTGCGGAGATCACAGAAGGCCTGTGTGCCATCTCTGTTATGTTAGGGATTACGGGGGTGGGGGTGAGGGGGACATTTCCCTAGGGACCACGACTGAGATGAAGCCGTCAGCTCCCGGCCAGGCCTGTCGCCGTTAGGCATGAGGACGTGGTAATTAGGAGTTTGAGTTTGGACCCCAGTCATCTTGGATTCAAGCCCTCACTCTCTCACTTGGCAGCTGTGTGAACCTGACTGAGTACTGTTTCCTCTCGGGGCTTCTGTTTGCTCACCTGTGAAATGGGGTGGTCGTCACACTGTCATCCCTGGAATGCTGTGGTGATGGGAGGACAGGGCTGAGCTTCTTGTGGGTCAGGGTCAGGTGCAGGACGGCCCCAGGAAAGTGGAATTAAAATACACATTTACGGGGCCAGCAGGTGGCATAGTGCTTAAGGCACTAGACTCCCATGTTGTCAACCGTGGTTCAAGTCCTGGACTCAGCGGCTTGAAACTCACACCAGGCACATGTGCATGCCCAATAATCCGAAAATAAAATGGAGGAGAAGGGATTGTGGTATGGCCATCCCGTAAGGGGGTGATTTATTACTTTCTGTCTCTCTGTCTCTCCAGCAAGTGCATGCACCCTATAGCAAAAATCACTTAAAAAAATGTACAGTACAGGTTTACTTTGGTGCAAAAAACTTTGAAATCCACACGTAGTTTTCCATGACACATATTTTCCATGAACATTTTGGAGCCCCTGCATAGCCCTGGGTGTCACCGTTATTCTGTTTTTCTGTCACATGTAGCAAACCTCACGTATCTGCTCATCAAATAAGATACCCCACCCCC